CTATTACTTACTTCACACACACACACAAAAGAAGTAGTATATTTGAAAGGCAAAGAAACAGAACTGAATAAATGGAAGGCTGAATTAGTGAGCTTGAAGATAAGTCTCTTAATACTCACCTTTGATAGGAACAATCAGAAAAACAATTAAAAATGTGAAGAAAGCCTAAAATTTATGTGGGACACTATCAAGAAGAGTAACTTAACGTATGATTGGAATTCCCGAACAGGAAGAGACAAAACAAAAAGAACCAGAGAAAATTGTACCAGAGTTGTTGGAAGAAAACTTCCCTAACATCATGAAAGATGAGAAGATAGCCATTCAAGAAACTAAGCAAACTCCAAAAGAAAACCACCAAGAATCTTAACTTTTCAAAATGAGAATCCTAAGAGCAGTTCAGGAAATCTAAGTAACCTACAAAGGAGAACTAAAAAGACTAAACTCTGATTTCAGAGGAGAAACCAAGAAGGCAGGAAGACAGTGTTTTTGTTGAGTGTTTTCAAGTGGGTTCTGATTCATAATGACACTGTATAGTGTTTCTGAAGAGAGGCTGGTGAGTTTGAACCACTGACTTTACGATTGGTAGTCCAGTGCTTATATTACAGTACCATACCAGGACACCAAGAAGACAACAGGATGTCTTATAAAAAACTCTGAAAGTAAAAAAAAAAAAAAGCCAGATCAACCTTACAAAATATACTAAAAGGAGTTCTTTGGACAGAGAATCAACAGCAGAAGACAACAACCTAAAGCTAGCATACATAGCAATATCAGAAAGAACTCAACCCAGATATGGAAGTATTCAAAGTAAAACACCCCAACAGGACTGAAGATATGGAACTAGAGATACCTGTTTGCAACAACAACAACATAAAATGAATAGAGAGAATAATTCAGTTACATAACTTACAAATTACGTGAAAATCAAAATCTCAAGAAAAAATCATCTGTAACCCTAAAACCAGACCAAGCCTTACTCGTAGCCCTAAGCCAACTCCTACTCCTAATACTAACCCTAGTCTTAACCATAACCCTAACATCAAATGAAGACCTAGGCCTTACCTAGACCTCGCCATAATTCTACTCCTAACTCCTTAATTCTTTCTTCACCCCAAAATAAATAAAAATAAATAAATATGCAATTCAAAACAAAACCTACTGCTGTTGAGAAGATTCTGATACACGGCAACTCCACAGGGCTTTCACTAAACATGATGTAAAATCAACAGTATATTCATCAGGACATTTATTATGGACTTTTTTTCTTCCAGCTGTAAATCCCACCCACTTACACTAGAAGCCAAAGGTAGACAAACTTTCTGCATAAAGGGTAAAGACTAAATATTCTAGGCTTTGCAAAACAGTGGATATTATGTACGTAGTTACTTATATAAGGAGCTCTGGTAGCATAGTGGTTATGAATCGGACTGCTAACCTCAAGGTTGGCAGTTTGAAACTGCTAGCCGTTTCACGAGAGAAAGATGAGGCTTTCTGTTCCTGTAAAGATTTACATCCTCAGAAATCCTGTGCAGGGTCGCTATGAGTCGGAACCAACTCCATGATACTTAACAACAAAGTAACTTATATAACAAGATTGGCAGTTCAAATCCACAAGCTGCTCCTTTAAAACCTTGTGCAGGGTTACTATGAATCTGAACCTACTCCATGGCTCTTAACAACAATAAACAGAACATGAGAAAAAATTGTTTCCATAAAATTTTCATTGGCAGAATTAATAAAAATTGAGATTTTTTTTTTTGGTAATACAGGTCTATGACTAAGAATAATGGGATATTTTATGGGGGTTCAAAGGTAGTGTTTCAGGTGCTTCATCTTCGGGAATGCTTCTTTAGACACATTTGTTGTTGTTTTGAGTTGGTTTTGACTCATAGTTACCCCATATAGGGTTTCCAAGGAGTGGCTGGTGGGTGTTGAGTAATCCAGTGCTTATTTTACAGCATCATACCAGGACTTCCTTTACACAGATGTTGTTGTTAATTGCCGTCAAGTCAATTCCAACTCATAGCGACCCTGGTACAAGGTTTCTGAGGAGCAGCTGGTGGGTTTGAATCGCTGATCTTGTGGTTTGCAGTTCAGTCCTTACCATGTAATCACATTGCAAACTGAGCACTTTCAATTGAAGTGGAAGCTTCTCAACTGCAGTTAAATGGATTTGAAAGATACACATTTCCTTTGTACTGTTCCTTTGCATTGTTGTTAAGTGGACTTGGTTCCAACTCACAGTAACCCTATAGAATGTTTCCTAGAAGTAACTGGTGAGTTTGAACAGTCAACCTTGCGGTTCGCAGTCCAGTGCTTATCCTAAAGCTCCACACCAGGGTTCCTTGTATTTGTATGGACAGTACTGTAGTTTCAGCTCAGAAAACAGTACTGTAGTTTCAGCTCAGAAAATACAAGGAGGCTTCAAAAAGTTCATAGAAAACTTGCATTATTGTTTAATTCTATTTTTCCAAGAACTTTTGGAAACTCACTTATAAATCTGCTGCAAAATTTTACAGGAATGAGTATCTCATTTCTTGTTTTAACTTCTGACAGCCTGGAAATGTATAAAGCAAATCAGCAAACGTTGATCTCCAGTTCCATCGAAGCCGGAGTTCTGTTGGTGTTCCTTTGCATGCGCTGCTGCCATTGCCACTTGACAATGCACATCTTTGTGAAAACTTTAACGGGTAAAACTATTACCCTTGAGGTAGAGCCCAGAAACACCACTGAGAATGTCAAGGTGAAGATCCAAGACAAATGCATCCCTCCTGACCAGCAGAGATTGATCTTTGCTTGGAAACGGCTAGAAGACAGTCATACCTTGACTGACTACAACATCCAGAAATAATCCACCCTGTACCTGGTCCTTCGTCTGAGGGGTGAATGCAGATCTTTGTAAAGACCCTGACCGGTAAGACAATCACCCTTGAAGTGGAGCCCAGTGACACCACTGAGAATGTCAAGGCGACGATTCAAGACTAGGAAGGCATCCTTCCTGACCAGCAGAGGTTGATCTTTGCTGGGAAACAGCTGCCAGATAGATGTACCCTGTCTTACTACACCATCCAGAAAGACTCTACCCTGAACTTGGTCCTGCGTTTGAGGGGAGGTATCTAAGGTATGCCTTTTAAGTTTTCAAGAAATTTCACTGCACTTTTTTGTCAATAAAGTTGTTGCATTTCTCCCTCCTCACCCTCCGCCAAAAAGTTGATCTCCAAAGCCAGTGAATGTTAATAATAGTGGCTGATGATGATTCCTCTTGTTCAGAAAAAATTCACACTTAACCACTGCTAAGCCACTGAACTGTTGCATAGCAAGACAATTCAGGATATTCAGCTTCTACATTCACAGAACCTACACTGGCTGGGCCCACAATGGGAATGCAGTTAACCTTTGACCCTACTAGGTCAATGACAGATTCAAATATTTTCTGCAAAGTACTTGTTGAAGAATAATAGTGATTAACATGAATACTATGCTTTCTCTGTAAATGTTGTCCAACTAAGCCTTCTTCTGTTTCATATGTATTTTTAACCATCATCAGTTATAATAGTGGTTACGAATCGGGCTACAAACCGCAGTCATCAGTTCCAAACTACCAGCTGTTCTGCGGGAGAATGATGAGGCTTTCTGCTCCTGTAAAGATTTATAGCCTCGGAAATCCTGTACAGGATCGCTGTGCGTCGACTCCACTGCACGTCACCAGCACCACCACTTCAGGCTGTGGAGTCCTGGTGTGGCGCTGTGTGCTAATGCGTCACACTGCAAAGTCATTTAAACTGCAAGGTCAGTGGTTCAAGCTCACCAGCTGTTCCTTAGAAACCCTATACAGAATCGACTCAACGGTACTTAACAACCAACTTCAGGATGTAATGAATTAATTTTTTTGTTTTCAATCTCTTTGAAAATCTGGTAGTAGCTGTTCTACACAGACTATTCAAAGAGGCTATTTCTTCAGTCACTACTGATTCCTCATATAAACAACAAACGAGCAGTTATCAGTAACTGTTGAGTATTCATTAAGCAAGGAAAAACATTTAGAGTAATTTGCTTTGGTTTAAACTGATTAGTGATTGTGTTCCCAATGTCTTCAAGTGTTTGAACAACTGTGTTGTTGTTAAGTGCTGTCGAGTCAGTTCCAACCAATAGCGAACCTGCACAGGGTTTCTGAGGCTGTAAATCTTTACGGGAGCAGAAAAAGCCTCATCTTTCTCCCGCGGAGCAGCTAGTAGTTTTGAACTGCAGACATTGCAGTTCGCAGCCCGATTCATAACCACTACACTACCAGAGCTCCTCTTGCACAACTGTACTTAACATAAAGTTAACACTCAAACAGGTCTGGTTTTATTTCTGGTTTTGCCTATGTAAGTATGTGACCTTGGGTGATTGCTTTTTTGATCGGTTTTCTCATTTGTAAAATGACAATTCCTATCTCTTCAAGTTATTCCAAGAATTAAAAGGATAAGATATACAAAATACCTAGCACAATCTTACATACAATACTCAATAAACATTACTTCCCTCACAAACTGTCATTCTTTACATTCTTTCTGCCTCATTACAGTTACTGGCATATGTGTTTTATCCTCCCCAAAGTTTTAGAAATATAGGAATTATTCCCTATGTATCTTTGGGTCTTCCATAGCACCAAGTTCAGTACCCAATACAAATTAGTTTGGTAAGGTACACTTTTAACTAAACTGGAGGTGGTGGTTATGTGCCATGACTCATAGTGACCCTGTACAGGGTTTCTGAAGCTGTAAATCTTTGCAGAACCAGAAAGCTTCATCTTTCTCCCATGGAATTGCTGGTAGTTTTGAACAGCAGACCGTGAGATTAGCAGCAAACTCATAATCACTATGCTGAATCAGCTTGTTTTTGATATATGTTCCTCTTCCAGTTTTGAAAGTCTTAACTGAAAATATAACTGAATAAAAATATCACACAAATGAAAATAAAGAATGCTAATTTAACAAGTCTATTCTTTAATATGTTTTCTAACCCATCCGCTTACCTGTTACTTCATCATTGTGGGTCGACAGCAGTTTCCAGATGAGGTAAGGACCACCGAGGATAACAGCGAAGAACAAGAATATTGGCCAGGATTTTGCTGAGTTAGTTACTCTGTCCTCGGCACCAAGGCAAGCCACAGTTCCTTCACTTTCTGCCCACAGATCCTCGTTCTCAGAACCTCTTCTTAAACCTATCATCCATTGTAACCGTCTGTAAAGATACCTTATAGTCCTAACTAATGCAAAAGCTGAAAATACCTTTGTGAAGTGTATTTTTAGTCGGGAAAAGTGATTTGCTACATCCAATACAGCCCTGAAACTGTTATAAACAGCTGAAAAGGTTGCATCCATCATCATACTGACAGAGGCAAATGCATGCACTATACTCTCAATGGACTGAAATGCACCTCTGCTGCTTTCTTCAGCTTGCTGAACAAATCTACTGGGTGGAAGATCATCTACACGGAAGCGGTTATATCCCAGCCCATTATATCCATAACTATAAGGGTTATAACTTCCATAAAATGAATTTCCATAGGCACCATATCCAGAAGAAAATGAACTATAAGCAGGTCTGAAAGTGTTCACATTGCTGCTTCCCGTCTGCTGTGATGGCCTTGGAAGAATAGGTGGGGGCACTCTAGTAAGCGCAGGCTGTCCAGGTCTTGTCAATAAAGTAGGACCCAAATCAGCAGATCTAAAACCAAAAAAAATTCAAAATGGTAACTGAAGCATGCAATCAAGTAATTTCAAAGTAACCATTAAATACCTCCTACAGGCCTAGCCTGGTGTGGTGCTGTGGGCTAATGTGTCAGACAGCAAAGTTGTTGGTTCAAGCTCAGCAGATGCTCCTTGTAAATCCTATACAAGATGGCTATGGGTCAGAATCGACTTGACGGCACTTACCAGTAACAGGCCTAGTGCTATGACAAGTTCTACTGAAGATGTTTTGAGTAAGTAATAGTTTTAATTTCCAGAGAATCAAAATCTAAAGTAGTGAGACAAAATGAACACTAAGGTAAAATAGCTGAACTGTCATTTTCTTGTTTACTAACGCTGGCATTATCTTTAATTGGAGATTTCTTTTTAATATGCTTGTCTATTTTCTCAGAATGAGTTATGATTAGCATTTGTCCATGCTTACATCCAAATGATAGTATCTTAATTACTATAGTTTTACAATAGGTCTTAATATCTAATAAAGCAAACCCTCCCACATTAATTAGAATTTTAAGTTCTACACCCATTATCTTCCCCAAAAGCCAACTCTCTTGAGGTTCTGTTTGAGATTATACTGAATCTGTAGATTAGTTTACGGAGACCTAAAATCTAATATTTTAATGTGTTTCAATCCATATAACGTATGCTCCATTTATTGAGGTATTTTAAAGATTTTTCTCAATATTTAACAAAAATGACTTTACTGAGTCCTAAAAGGGTAGGAAGTAGCAGTCGCATCAGCATGGCCAAAAACCATCTAGTCTCAGAGGAATCAAGATTAGCGTAGTAAGACTGATCCCCATGAGGTGGAGGTCAAACGTACCTCCACTCTCCAAACTTCTCTTCCTTTGATACCAGCTCTTTTCCCCACAGCACTCTCTACTTAACTGTTGAGTTTCATAATCCATTGCAATGGCCACACAGAACACGTAGACCATACTTAAGAGGTTTACTGAGAAACAGGGGGCAAGGTGACATTAATAAGAGATTACAAACTCAGGAATCAAGGTCACAACACATATAGGCAAGTCTTCCTTTCTCAGAGTAGGATAGCTCTTGTCCTATTCAGCCCAACTATAGGCTCCTCTTGGTCCTGCGGTCTGTTGCCACTAGCTTTGTGGCTAGGGCACTTCTGGTGTTGGAGAAGAATTACTAAAGGTACCATGAACTTCCAGAGAATAAACTATCTGTATTGGAAGAAGCACAATCAGAATGCTCCTAAGAAGCCAACATGGTCAGACTACATCACTCGTTGTTAAGTGCTGTGGAGTCAGTTCCAACTTATAGCAAACCTGAATAGGGTTTCCGAGGAGTAGGTTTGGACCGCTGACCTTGTGGTTCAAACCAACCTTTCACCTAACCAGCCAGGAGGGAATTAGTCCTTGGAGAAGGACATCATGCTCGGTAAAGTGGAGGGTCAGCAAAAAAGAGGGAGACCCCCAACAGGATGGATTGGTACAGTGGTGGTAGCAAAGGACTTAAATGAGGATGGTGCAGAACCAGGTGCTGTATATAGGGTCACTATGGTTGGAAGTGACTGGATGGCACCTAACAACAACAGCAACAACAACGTACTTGCCCTAAACGAAAACCAGATCAAACTCATAGCCACTGAGTGAATTCCAACTCCTCACAACCCTATATATGGTTTCGAAAACTATAAATCTTAACAAGAACAAATAACCTCATCGTTCTCCTGCATAGTAGCTCCTGAGCTTAAACTGCTGACCTTGTGAGATTAGCAGTCCAATGCTTATCCTAAACAACATCTGGGCTTCTAATATTCATCTTAGAGTCCTGGTATGGTGCTGCATATGGACCCAAAGGTCGATCTGAACTGCAAGACAGCGGTTCAAACCCACCAGCTGCTCCTTGGAAACCCTATACAGGGTTGCTATGAATCAGAACCAACTTGACGGCATGTAACAACAACAATATCCATCTTAGTGGGTATGGAGTGGTACCTCACTTTGATGACCATTTCCTTGATGGTTAAGGATGTTTAATATCTTTTCATGTGCTTGTTATTGTTGTGGAGAAGTGCTGTCAAGTCAGCTCTGACTCATAAGGATGCTGTAAAGAACTTCCAAGGAGCAGCTGGTGGGTTTGAACCACCAACCATGCAGTCAGCAGGTCAGTGCTTATTGGCCACTTTTTCATTTTCTTCGTAGAAATGTCTATTTAGAGCCTGCTGTGCACTGACTTACTTCATTATGGGTGGTCTACCCATAGTTTTGTAATGCCCACTGAGCAATTTTCTTTTCCTGGTGAATCGGAGTAAGAAAAGATAGGAGAAGATGGTGATAGGATTATATGATTCAGTTATGAGTGACTGTTAACAGTGTCAACTGTGATTGTAAAAACTTGGAGCGCTAATGTAAATATAAAATGAGCCATCTCTGAAGGAGGAGGAGAATCTCACTAACAAGAAAGAACAGCCTTTGGATCCTGAGATCCCTCAGCACTGAACCTCCTTGACTGAGGAGACAAGAGCTGTGACACCAGAATAGTGGCAGAGAAGCAGCAGCAGAACCATTAGCCAGAGAACCAGGTAGAATGGTATGTTTCATAGTCTACACAGCAGGTAAAGCTGAGCTGACTCTGGGCAGAAGGCTTAATTGTGGAGTGGGGCGCTTCCAGGCATTTAATTGGGGAAGCTAGAGTTGCGGACCCATGGAGGTAGAGCCAAGTGCCTTCAGATTAAGGTTTACAGTAGAGTGGAGTGTCTTCTGAGCTCTTATCACAGCAGCCTTAAAAAAATTGCCTGATAATTTGAAGAGGTAAAATAATGCTAAGATGCTTGACTGTCTTATGAATATTGGCTTCCCTTGCCTACTATTGTAAAATAGACACGAGTAGGATAGAAAGGAAAGTTGGGAAACATGATTACAGACAGCTTGTAAGCCCATTTTCAGACTACAACTGATTGGAATACCGAAAAGGGTTCTAGAACTTTCCAGTGAAATGGACCTCTTGCGGAGCCTTTGCAGTGTATAGAACCTTAGGTGGAATCCTGAGCCCCATCCAGAACCTTCTGAGGTGGGACATTCCCACAAGAACGGAAAAAGCAGACCAACCTGGAACAGCTAGAGCAATATAAGATACATCTTCAAAGAAAGATCAGCATGAAAAATCCAAAACAAAAATGGCAGGATGATTGGCAACTACAAGAACAAGCAAGTTGTTCACCGGTAAGTTATCAAGGCAAGCAATCAAGTCTCTTTAGGACAAACCCCACTCTAAGACTGAAACTCAAAGGGAATACATGAACAGACATGTAAGCTTAGTGGTGACCACACTGGTCTACTGGTGAGTGGAAAAGGGGGAAAGTCAGCAATGAAGAAATGGGCTGAGTTCAACCACAGTCCATTAACTCCTGTTGACCTGGAAATGAGAGACAAGAAGAAGGGATGGATGGTCCAAAGTGTGGTGAGGCCTGGGAACTCCTGAGCTCATGGATAAGGACACAGCCACAGAGGGCTAGAGCTGAGAGTGAAGCACCCAGCTGATATGAACCAGGTAGAATGGTATGATAGATAGGAAGTGAGGGGAGATGCACAAAAATGCCCAAACTTGCAGATAAGTACTCATCTGACCTAGTCTTGTTGGCTTGATAATCAGAACTTGACTAAGGAAACGAGTGTAAATTGTTACAATTTGATGAACTTAACCTATATTTATGGATGTGTTGTTGTTGTTGTTAAGTACTGTGGAGTCGGTCCCGACTCATAGTGACCCTGCACAGGGTTTCTGAGACTGTAAATCTTTACAGGAGCAGAAAGCCTCGCCTTTCTCTTGGGAAAGACTGGTAGTTTCAAACTGCCAACCTTGAGGTTAGCAGCCCGATTCGTAACCACTATGCTACCACAGCTCCCAAAATACTAACAGAGAGGAAAGGAGTCCTCACATCAAGTATCTTATCCACTCCGCATACAGGGTAGATAGGGACGGGCAACTTAAATATTGGCTATCAAAAATAAGGGGGTGATAAAGGCACGAAGTGACTGACTTACAATGTTTCAAGAGGGGGTTTAGTTTAAGAGTGTGTGGGGGAAGATAGAGTCCCCACTGAATAGTTTTCATCTTGTCTAAATGGATCTGGGAAAATAGATGGGGTAAGATTCTTAAGATTCAATAGTAATTGTTATCATGACTAATTGCGACTGTCATGATTGTGAAGGTAAAAGTTTTGTAACAAAAACGGGGGAGGAGTTAATCTTACAGTCCAAAAACACAGGACCCTAGGACCATCAAAAGGAGAAGAGCACAAGCAGAATGTGCAACCTTTTCCAGAGAAACACCGACACCAGAGATGGAGGCAGAGATGATGACATGGAGAGAGGGAGCAGCTGAGGACTATAGACTCTTGGAAAGAGAGTGACTAGTACTAGAACTGGTAGCCAGGAGGCAGGCTTGCAGAATGTGTCCTTTGGTTGTTTAAATTATTATAGATTCCTGGGTGTTTTTGTGTACATACCCCCGTCCCATCCCCCAAAAAACAAAAAAACACAAAAAGAGGGAATGGAAGCAAATACTATTGAATGATGATGCACGGAGGAGACTGTAATCATTGCAATGACACAATGGTGTACAGCTGATGTTCTCCCATTTAAACTATCACTCAGCTGATGTTCTCCCATTTAAACTATCACTCAGTTCACAGTTAAAAATAAAATAAAATAAAAAGAGTATTCCCTTAGCAGAGTAGTGCAGAAGTTAGCTTGAGAAGCCAATGACCATAGAGAGGCCTGCCTACGGGCATGGCTAGGAAGAGGTGGTCCTGACTAAAAGACTGGTATCCTGAGCATTTCCGATCTTGCATTTTCAATTGAAAACGTCCCTAATAAACCCCATAACTGTGAATTGTGGTGTCTTGAGTTCTATGTGGCTACTGTAATGAGTTATCGAACTTAGTTGAGAAGCAGAGGGTGCTGTGGGAGGAATGGTTGGTATCTGAATTTGTAAGGCAAGGCGGAG